CAAAAGAGGAAAAATCAAGGAAGTATTCAAGAACTGACGTTGAGTAGTTTTCCAGCAGAAAAATGAGGTATCACAGGAAGTCTGCAACGTCACAAACCGAGCTATGGGGTTTGGTAGTTTCAACGTCGATATGTCAATTAAATATTTGATGCTACTAAAAAAATTGCTTTTTGACACCTAGGAACCTCAATTAAGCAGCTTGGAGGACAAGGCGCATACGTGCAGTTTTTGCTCTTTCGAAAAAAAACGTGTTTAAAGCGTTTAAATTAAACGAACCCTTATGGCGGAAAGAGAGTTCAAACTCACATTTTGATGCTTAAGTATTGTATGTTACCGATGACTTTATCACAGACTTTATTTCAAACCTAGTATTAGTTGGAATCACTACCCAAGCAGGCCCGCCACAAGGGGGGGGGATACTGGGTCCCTGGTGCCGGGGCCCGGGCCCTGGAGGGGCCCGTGACGCAGGTGACAAACCACTACGAATTCATGTGTAACCCTTGTCTCGTAGGGAAAAGTGAAAAAATTACCCTAAAAATTCCGCAAAAGGTGAATATAGTTTCAAAAACACGCTAGGGCACTATAAAATTTTTCTTACTTTTTTAGAGATTTTCAAGATTTTGAGTATACGTAGAATGATATTTTTAGTAACTGTGTTTCATTTTCTTCCGTTGTCGGATGCTAAGAGGCTCCTTTCTGGGCATCCTCGACTTCAATGGCTTAACTCCCTTGCCATAGACGTACGAAAGGGGATTCCAGGGGGCCCGGCTCCCCATAGAATTGAAAATTATCATCTGCCCCCTCAAAAAAAATTTATACATGTTTTGAATGCAACAATTCGAAAGTTTTTGGTGCTGAAAGTAAACAAAAAGGCGTAATTATTCTGCAGAAATTGATGGAGAATCTCCATCATAAGAGCTTCATAATGCGTCCAAATAGATTTAAAATTTCAAAAATTTCCCGGGGGAGGCCCCCCGAACCCCCCCCCCCTGTTCTAGGGGCCTGGGCCAGAAAATTGGTATCCAGGGCCCGAGATGGGATGTGGCGGGCCTGTACCCAAGCAGCAGAAGCAGAGGTTGCAACAACTTGCAACAAAATCGTTTGATTCTTGCAACTAATAGATTGATGTGCAGATTGCCTACTCTCTCCCCCGAAGGAGCTATCATTGTTGGAACTAGTTGCAATTAAGTTGAAACATGTTGCAACTTTGAAGTACTGCTGGTTTAAACAACTTTGGTGCAGTAATTTTGCAATCTCAGGTTGCAACTTCGTCTTCCGATCAGATCGCCGAAAATCGGCACTTATCGACCAAAAGTTGACTGAAAGTTGCAACTTTGTTGCAACAAATACCAACATTGTTTCAACTTTTTGCAATTTTTACATTGAAAAATGCTACTTGGGTAATCTGTCATTTTTTTTCTTTTTTCGAAAACTGCACTTATACATCTTGTCCTCCAAGCCCTTCAATTACTTTTATACCCTTTCTTATTACCTTATATAGACAGCTTTATGCAATAAGGAACTACGGTCAAATTTTCGATTTTTTTTTTTTATGATGAATTCCGTATCAGGAGGGTAGGTATTTACTTACTATTGAGCAAAAGAAAATCCTCACAAACGATTTTTACCCCGCTTCAGCGGCCCCGCAAAAATTTGCCGTCGCAGGATCACGAGAGGTTCATTTTGCAATTGGGACCTATAGTATGGTTCCCAATTGCGTAATGCGAAACTCGGATTTCTCATTTTGCAATTCGGAACTGTAGGCAGGACGGCAAAATGCTAGGTACCTATCTCGGCATTCTCGGCTCCTGTTCGATCGATCTTGCTGACTTTTGGTACCCGGGGGTATTTTTCGACGGGAAACTCGAATTTCTGGTCAAATTTTGGAAATTCAAAAATCCAATGTGACGGATGTGGCCTAAAATGCTATCTCGGCTCCTGCTCGATCTATCGTGGTGAATCTTGGTTGTAGGGGATATTTTGGACGGAAAATTCGAATTCCTAGCCGAATTTCAAAAAAATTGAAATTTTTTCAAAATTTGACAATGAGTTTGTTCAGTAATTTTGATTGTTGCATTTTTTGAAATATTTACTACGCATGTGCCACAATAATTTTCTACGATATTTTTCCAATTTCAATCCACGAAAAAGAAGTTTGAGTTTGCGTCTTTCTGAGTTCCCCTTTAAACGCGTGTCTCCGAGGAATGAAAAATCCCCTGACTAAGGTCATTTTTGGTCACATCCACCATCTTGGATTTTCGATTTTTTTAAATTTGACCAAAAATTCAAGTTTTCCGCCCCAAGATGCTTCCTGGTACCAAGATTCACCGCTACAGATCGAGCACGAGCCGGGATAGCATTTTAGGCCACATCCGCCATCTTCGATTTTCGAATTTTCAAAATTTGATCAGGAATTCGAGTTTCCCGTTCATAAATACCCCCCGATGCCAAAAATTAGCAAGATCGATCGAACAAGAGCCGAGATAGCATTTTAGGCCACATCCGGCATCTTGGATTTTTGAATTTTTAAAATTTGATCACAAATTCTAGTTTCTCGTCCAAAAATACCGCCTGCTACCAAAAATCAGCAAGATCGATCGAATTGGAGCCGAGATACCACTTTAGGCCACATTACTAATCTTGGATTTTCGAATTTTCAAAATTTCATGATTCACGGCTTTGTTAACAGATTCACGGGTTTATCAAACAATTCACGGATTTTTCGAACGAATCACGGGGTTGTCAATCAATTCACGGATTTATCGATCGATTCGCAGGTTTTGTATCGATTCACGGTCGTCAATCGAATCAGTGCCGATAAAATCACGTCAACCCGTTCACGTTCCAACTTTTCGATCGATTCATGTCGGATTCATGACACCGGTTTTTCAATAATTTGTCGATCAAGTCGGTGTCGATCGATTCACCCTTCATTTTTCGATCGATTCATGTCAATCGAATCTATAAACCATCCCGTCCAAATTGCATGTTAATATCTGCCACCATTCTCGAAATATTAGCAAGTCTGTAGGTAGGTATCCATATTTTTGGCACACCCTGTTTTTGGTGGAATATCATTCCGCAGGGACAATGCACCTCCCCCCTACCTCGTGTGACGGGGAAGGAGTGTTTTCTCTGTTGGGGTTAGCCATCCAGTGTGTAATAGTGACACCAGGGTCGTCTCTCCTATGTAGTCAGTGCTGAAACAATCTATAGTTCCTAATTGCAAAATGAGCTTCCTCGGATTCTTCATTTTGCAACAAGGAATTATAGCCTTTTTTTGTAATTTTTGGCAACAGTGTGATGTTTTCGAAGAATCTGTGAACACAGGGTGTTAAAGGAAGTCCATAGCTATAAAGTGAACCATTGAATCGCAACATTAATCGTTTTGGGGAAAAACGCCAATGGTTTTTGCAAAAGTTGCTCTCCTGAAAACCTACCGTATTGCCTATAGTTCCGAATTGCAAAATGCTATCCATATTGTTTTTAAACCGAAACCGACAAACTTCGGTCAAAATACTGGGTAACATTCAGCGTCATGAAAATCAGCCGATAAACAGATATTTTAAAAATTAAGGCCGCCATCTTTTTTCCGCCATCTTGAATTTTGATTCAGACTGAAAGTAACGTCAAATTCGCAGGCCAATATACTTGGGCACACTGAGTTTCATGAAAATCTGCCGATAAACAGGTATTAGAAAAAAAAAAAAAAAAAAAATCAATCAATATAATTTTCAGCTGCTATAGTCCAGGTAAACTGTGTAGATACCAGACCCCCCCCCCTCCAGCCAACCATCCCTCTAAGGTACTCCTTCCTTTACCATGTGCCATGGCTATCATCAGTTGATACTATTTATTTCCAAAATCATCGGATATCCGTGAAACAGGGGCAGACTAAACGAACTACCAGCCAAAATGGATAAAAAATCACAAATGTCAAATTTGACACTATTCCATAATGACCCTCTAAAGTTCTCATATTTTCAGCTAAATTTTGATGAAATATGTGGTTTAAGAAGAAAATTTCACGCTCTTTCAATTGGTTCCAACAGTTTAAAGAGAAATCACGCTCTTTCAATAATTGGTTCCAACAGTTTAACAGAAAACATTCCGCCGTCGCCGCCGCCCCCTCCCCCCCCCCAAATAGTCTGGGCTCCGTCAGGTAGCTGAGTTACCTTCAAAAAGGTACCTACTTCCGCCTCGAGTGAACTGGCCGCCCCTCCCGCAAGAAAGACAGTTAATCGCGGGAGGGGGGGGGGGCTAAAATCTCTCTAGGCGCAGACGATAGGGTTTTTGACAATTTTTTTATGAAATTTTATGCAGTGCCGAGAATTTTGCCGCCTCGTTTGCCTTTCTGCACCTCTCTGAACCGGACTTACGATTTTTTGAAAACTGGCCCATTTTGAACTTTGACCGAGAATAACTCGAGAACGAAAAGTTGTAGCGACCTCCGGTTTGCGCCAAAAAGTTTCTTTTTTTATTACTTTTCCAACGATGTATTACAAGAGGGGGGTTACCATTTGAAAATTTCGAGTTAGTGTGCGCCCCTCGCGGGGGGGGGAGGGGCGCCCCCCAAAAATTTTGGTTGTGCCAAAAAGTTGCGCTTATTGATCTAGGATCATCCCCAAAATTTCGTTTCGATTCAAGCATGCGTTCAAAAGTTAGAGGGGGGGTCGGGGACTTTTCGCTCACCCTGTATGTCTCATCGCTGCTTTGTCGTGCCTATGTCAGGTGGAACTCACGACAAGCTAAAGGCACCTCTTAAGTTTCCGACAACATGTAGTCCATTTCACCTGACAAAGGTACAATAAAGCAGCGATAAGACTTAGCCGACCAGTCATGCTTAACCTTTCCTTTAACGCATGCCTTTATACGCATGCTTATTATGCATGCCTTCTAACGTATGTCATCTATGTCTACCCGAAAAATACAAAATTTCAACAATCAGGCTGCTGTCCTTTTTTAATCATAATTCTTCATCCTATTTTTGTTCTTAAAAGATTGCTCCTGCTCTATTCTGAAATTGTTCAATTTGTGTGTCTTGACACTCAGGAACAATTACGAATATCAATGGAGAAGCGGTTACAGTCCACAATAGCTCAACTGGGAAATGAGAAGGAGACAGAAGCACAGGAATTTCAGGACAAAATAGCTGCCATAGAGCAGCAGCTGGATGCAGCATGTCAACAACATGAGGAAGCATTGCTGCGTGCTGAGAACGACAAACAACAAGCATTACTTCTTGGTTAGTTGCTCTAAAGTAGCACAAGGAGGGAAGAAAGAGAAAAGTATACTTTGATAAAAATTATTTTGTTTTAAAGTTGTAATTGAAAAACATCACTCTCAGTTTCTGTTTATTATTTGGTACCAGTCAAATGCTGGATTCTCGACTTGTAGATTTTAACTTTTACTGTTTTTTTGTTACTAACGACTTTTGAAGACGCCACCTTACTTTAATTTCAATTTGCCTTCTCTCAGATCATGGATTCAAGAAATGTGTATCTCAATTTTAACATTTTAAAATGGCCGAATTTATTTATTTTTTTTTTTAAAGAAAACCAACTAAAATATATCCGTGGATAATTTTTTCTTATACTTGATATTTTTAAATGAGTGACGGAAATTCTCGGGAATGCTTAAAGCAAAACTATTGGTTAGGCTTCTTTTAAAAAGAATAAAATATCAATGGATGTTTGCAATGTTGATCTCTGTGACATGCACTTTTCAACCTTAGCCATGGTCATAATGTTTTCTAATACTCCAGGGCTACAACTACAGTACAATCTCTCTATAGCGGTCATCTTTATAGCAGAGATTTCTCTGTGCGGCAAAATCGGCCGGTCCCTTGAACTTCCTATGTTAAATACCCGTATTTTCCATTCTGTGTAGCAGCAGCGGCTTTCTCTATAGCGGCGGTCTGGGAGCGGAGATCATACCGACCGGAGGCCTCGGAGTCTCGGGCGGGTCAAAGTGCAGTTTTGTGTGTGTTGTTGTGAACCACATTGCAGAATGTTGATTGACACCACCAAATGGCAGACTGTTAAAAGAGGCTCAGACTTTAACCATATTTATTTCATTAAGCTATGATGAGAAAAGAAATTACTCAGCCCTGAGTTCAAACTCCGAATGTTCTGGGATTAAATAACCCAGCACGGTTGGGAATAGAGGATTGATGTTGATTTAATTTTAGCTGAGGAAGGATAAATGTATTTTTTTTTTTTTTTTTTGTTGGGCTTCGAGCACCTTTAGAATACCTACATCCTACAATCTCTAATGGCATTGGCCGTTAAAAAACGTCTAAAAACTTGCAAATATTAAAGAGAAAACCCTAGAAAACTGTTTAATTGAGAAAAAACTGAGGAAATTATTGATGTTACCATAAAAACATAATTTTAAAATATGTGACAAAATAAGTTTATTAGCAAGTAAAATGCACACTTGGTTCGCACACCCCATGTTCACGCGATTTGATTTTCTGTTGCTTTTATGTCTGTTAGGGTCATACTTTCACCATAGCGGGGTGGTCGGTCCCTTAAGAATCCACTATGGAGAGATTGTACTGTATTTCCATTGAGTTTGAATTCGATGCAGTGGTATCACTGCAGTGATAGTAATAGCAGGTGTGTTTTGAAGTTCAAGTGAAAAGGTGTGTGTTCTGTAAGTATGTGATTGTTTGATGAATGTTTGCAGCTCAACAAGATCAGCAAGCTGTTGCAGAAAAATTAGAAAGTACTCGAAGGGTTTTGGAGGAAGAAAGGCTTGCGATGGAGAGATTGAAGAGAGAATCAGTCACCAAACAAGAACAGGACAGAGGCACTATGAATACGCTACGTGACCAAATAAATCGACTCAATGTTAAGTTAGAGGAATTAAGGTAATTTGTTTATGCTGCAAGAATTGCAAGCTGATGTTATTATACTGATATAATGGTACTATTATCTTGATTTCTCCTTACCATGCAGTATATGAACTGACCGTGTAACAGTAACAGTATGAAAATCATGATTGGCCAATATGATATGTATCATACAGGGTCATCCAAAAGTCACCTACCATCCCTGTAACTTTTTCCCTAATTGATGTAGAAATTTGAAACTTTGGGGATGTTCCTAGGTCGATACTCTAAAATAGCAACTTTTTGGTCCCCCCCCCCCAAAGTCGGGGACAGCCCCCTCTAAGGGAGGCGGGGTGCAACTTTCGTTTTTCAAATAGTAAACCCTCTTTTGTGACACATCATTTGGAAAACAATAAAAAAGAGACATTTTGGCGCAAACCGCAGGTCAAATTGGCGGGCGGTCAAAGGTCAAAATGATGGAAATTTAGCATCTTCGATTTTATTGACGGACTGGGATGAAAGAGGTTGTCCCATTTTCCATAGGAAATGGCCGCAAGAGCTTTTCCATCCATACTTTCAGGAATCATAACGTATCATCGGAGAAGCCTAAATCCGGTGCCATTTCTCATCTAGCCCTCCAGGGGGAGGGGGGGCAGGGGGTCAAAGGTCAAACGCTCCGACCGCCATAACTTTTGAACGAATCATCAGATCAACTTGACCTTGGGCTCAAATGAATGCTCTTGACAAGACCTTTCATTTGATGTGTAGTAATGTCTATTTTTGGTAATTTTTTAACGTAAAAAAAATCATTTTTTGATTTTTCAAGCCCAAAAAATTCAGTTTTTCGGGGTTTTCTGTTAATGGGAACGCACGAATCATGACAAAAACCAATTTAAATGAAAGCCCTTGATTCAAGCTTTAAAACGAGCAATTGTTGAATTTGGGGAAATGAATGGTTCAAAAGTTATGACCGTTCAAAGTTGGCGTGGCGCGCTATTTTCGAAGCGCGCGGAGTGCATACTCGCGTGCCACCCCTCCCTACCTTTTCCCCTGGGGTCCGCTTCAGTTGATAACGGATACAGAAAGGTCCAAAGCTCCTTCCACCTACAGAATGACTATTCATTAGTGTAAAATTACTTTTATCTCTAACGAAAAAAGAGAAATAAAAATAAATTAAATGCTAATAAACGATAAGACGCTGGCATACATTATTTTTTCGCCCCCCCCCCTCCATGATTTAATATTTGATGTAGCCAAATCAAGCCTCTCATCATTACGGTATCAGATTATTCCCGTGCAGGTAAATCTTGATGAGAGGGAAATAGATCGGAGAGAGGTGAGAGAGAGAGATATTCAGTAGTAAATGCGAGTTTCAAGTGCTGGTCGGCTAGTTGCGTATCACACCCTATGAATATTATATACAGCTTTTGAGCGTATTATGCGGTAAAAAAAGCTTGATTTGGCTATTAAATATTAAATTATGGAGGAGGGGGGGCGAAAAAATAATGTATGCCAGGGTCTCATCGTTTATTAGCATTTAATTTATTTTTATTTCTCTTTTTTCGTTAGAGATAAAAGTAATTTTACACTAATGAATGGTCATTCTGTAGGTGGAAGGAGCTTTGGACCTTTCTGTATCCGTTATCAACTGAAGCGGGCCCCAGGGGAAAAGGTAGGGAGGGGTGGCACGCGAGTACACACTCCGCGCGCTTCGAAAATAGCGCGCCACGCCAACTTTGAACGGTCATAACTTTTGAACCATTCATTTCCCCAAGTTCAACAATTGCTCGTTTTAAAGCTTGAATCAAGGGCTTTCATTTAAATTGGTTTTCGTCATGATTCGTGCGTTCCCATTAACAGAAAACCCCGAAAAACTGAATTTTTTGGGCTTGAAAAATCAAAAAATGATTTTTTTTACGTTAAAAAATTACCAAAAATAGACATTACTACACATCAAATGAAAGGTCTTGTCAAGAGCATTCATTTGAGCCCAAGGTCAAGTTAATCTGATGATTCGCTCAAAAGTTATGGCGGTCGGAGCGTTTGACCTTTGACCCCCTGCCCCCCCTCCCCATGGGGGGCTAGACGAGAAATGACACCGGATTTAGGCTTCTCCGATGATACGTCATGATTCCTGAAAGTATGAATGGAAAAGCTCTTGCGGCCATTTTCTATGGAAAATGGGACAACCTCTTTGGTATCCAAGGGTGTTTTGGGACGAGAAGAACGATTCTGGCAATAGTCTTCCGGGTAATTCAGTCCTTTTCAAAATGGCGGTGGTGGAAATGGCGACATATAGGGGAATTAGATGTTTAGGCTGCTCATCGGTGGATTTGCATGAGATTCGATATCCGAGGGAATTTCGACACGAGAAAGACTTACATTTCGTTGAATTTTTGAAATTGTGAATAACTTCCAAATATCGGCGGAAAAATGGCGGTATCTTGGTATTACGGATGTTTCCTGACGCAACTGCATGAAATTCAGCCGCCATTTTAAAAGCCGTTAGCATTACAAAAATTTAATGGGAAAAGCCCCTTTTTCCGAGCCAGGAACCACCAGGGCACCGATTTTCATGCGAATCTATCAGTAAACGTGCGTTATACCAATTTCCCACCATTTTTTCGCCACTATTTTGAAGTCATTCAAAATTTCCGAAATCCAATGAAATATACGTCTCTCTCGTGCCAAAATACCCCCGAATACCGAGTTTCATCCCAGTCCATCAGTAAAAACGAAGATGCCAAATTTCCATCATTTTGAACTTAGACCGGCCGCCATTTTGACCTGCGGTTTGCGCCAAAATTTTTCAATTTTTATTGTTTTTCGAATGATGTGTCACAAAGGGGGGTTAACTACTTGAAAAACGAAAGTCGCCCCCTGCCTCCCTTGGAGGGGGCCGCTCCTTACTTTGGGGGGACCAAAAAGTTGCTACCTTAGAGCTTAGACCTATAGGAACATCCCCAAAGTTTCAAATTTCTATGTCAACTAGGGAAAAAGTTACAGGGGTGGTAGATGACTTTTGAATAACCCTGTAATGCTCTTCTTTGTCAGGGACTGCCTCATGGCAGACTGCGAAAGGTTACATGCATTTTCGTGCTTTTTCACTACACCAACCATTTATTCTTTCCCACCTTCCTTCTGGTGATTTTGGAGAAGAGGAGTAGGGCAGAGGTAGAGGGGTGATTGTGTGTCTTAAGAAATCAACTCTTGTATTTTCATTTCCTTCACTCATAAGTTTCCAATGAATATCGTGCGTAAAATATTCTCACTAGTGCAAAATCGTGAAGTATAACATATAGCAGTATGTGAAATTTATATAAATTTAACGCACAAGAATTCAGACTTGCAGAAATATTGCTGAGTTTTTATACCAGTATACTTGATATTTCAGAAATTTTTTTCCAAAAAAACCCCTTGCATGATAAATGAGGAAGTAAAATTTGCACAAAATTATGTAATTACATAAAAAAATTCAGTCATGTAAATATATTATGGCTTTTTATTTTTTTTACTGCCAAGAGTTTTACTTGGAAACTCTGAATCTGGCGCTTTGACCGCCTACGAGAGTGTCTTCTATCCATGGTAACAGCATCAAAAGATCGTTTATGATAAAAATAGTTTTTCTCTGTCTATGAAAGTAGTCTTTTGTAAGGAAATTTCAAATGGTCCAACAATTGGTTGATAACAAAGCTGTAAAATCCAAATTAGGTCAGAAAAATTAAGTCTCTCAAGATTAAAAAATCGGCATCAAAAGGCAAACAGACAGTTTGACGTATCTCATTTTTTGTAAGTGCAGGGTCAAAAGTGAGGACACGAAGGATAAGCTGGAAATTGAAGTGCAAGAAGTTCGGAAGGAAAGAGATATGCAAATTCAAGAGTGCGAGGAATTGAAAGTGCAATTGCACCTAGCAGAAGATCGTCTTGAGAATATTCATCAACAGTTACATGACACTGTTCGAAAACTCAAAGATGGTAGGAAATTTTTTTCAGAGCATTGCGTACGTATCAAGTAGTAATCTTCGAAATATGAAGTTTGCTTTCAAATTTATTTTGCCCGGCCAATTTTTTTGAACGCGTTTACTGCATGATTTTGTAAAGTTCTAGTCAAAAATTTTACTGTCAAATGACAAGCCCGTTTCTTTGCTCTCTAAGTCTCTTCACCTTGCTAAAATGAAAATTGTATTTTTGCAATTCAACATTGAAAATGCAACTAAATTGCTAAAGTATCCTAAATCCCGTCTATGACCAGGTATCTCAGGGTCAAAGTTTCAAGTAAGCTGTATTTTTAATGCCACACCAGCTTCTTGGAACTCCACTGAAATGCAAAGAAGCTGATTGCTGTTCGTTTTCCACACAGGGTGTACCAAAAGTCCGTCCCACCCCCGCTAACTTTTGAACGAATTGAGCTGGGGTAATGAAACTTTGGGAATGTTCCTATCTCAAAGGGGACCATCGTTTGGGGGGGGGGTCAAATTTTGGTTCCCCCTCAGGGAGGGCGCGGGGGCCCCCAACTTCTTTTTCAAATGGCAGCCACTATCTTGTGATACCTCATTCGAAAGACCATAAAAAACTAAGAATTTTGGCGCAAACCGCAGATCAATATCTTAATTTTTGACCGAGTTATGATTAGGTCAAAGGCCAAAGACCTAAGGTGAGGTTGGGTAACTGGGCAGGAGTTCGGAGAAAAATGTCAAAATTTCAACTTCATGATTTTTTTCCCATCATTATATTGACAGTGGAGGCTACTTTTAAATTTTTTTTAGTAAGTACAACACCTTGTCTAAATGTAGGAAGAGTCAAAAGTCGAATTTCATCTTTCAATTTTTT